GCAATATTTTGTGATTTACAAGATGAAATATAATTCTTCAAAGTTTTATTTTGTTAAACTACTATCAAAATACTATCATCACAGAAAATTTCAAACTGATTGTGCTTGATCTTGGCCAGTATCTTCCATGAATTAGTTGTTACTTCTAGGAGTTCTAGCCATTACTGACCTGTGACATCATTTCCTACATATTACTTTCGTCCTGCTCTTTTCACTTGTGATATCATTTCCTATAATTCATTTCTCGATCCCCTGTAGAAAAGCGTTTTCTTCTTCTGCTGTTTGACATTATATCCAGCAAGATGGCACTAAATGTATAAGTTGAATGTCAATTAGCAAATTTTAGTTCTGGCTAAAAGTTACTATTTATTGTTATATGAAATAAAAATCAATTTTATTCAACTATAAATAATGTAAAAACATTATTGAATATCAGATATGAATTATGCTTAATTATTAACTGTATTGTATTATTTATTCAGAACAACTGTGCAAAAGACATCAATAAAATAATATCTAAATCCAGTTATATTTACATTTCCAACATTATTATGTATTAATTTATCAAAAACAGGAGAAAATACTGTGTTAAATGATTTAATGCCCTAACAAGATCAAATAATTTCAACACTGCAAACACAATTATTTATACACTCCAAGTATTCCAAATTTAAGATTCATGGCCTTTACAAACAGTGTATTCATAATTTACACTATTTCTCTGCAATCAATTTATATTGGAGTAACTTCCTTTTCTGACTTAATATCAAACTGCTTAGTTCAACGGGTTCATTTTCTTCAATTTAACAATAAAAAAGCTATAAATAATGTTTTGTCTCACATATTCATTTTAATTTTCATAAATATGTGTTTATAAAACTGATAACAATTTTATATAACATTCATATATAAATAATAATGCTGAGAACATCAATGTTAGCAAAGAAGATATTTTTGTCTCCATATTGATCATCTTATCTTTCAAACTATGAATTTGAAAAAAAAATAATAATAATAATAATAATAATACTCTTCCAGATTTCTTCTTTAAAATTTGATAAAACAATTATACAAATGTCTGATTCATCAATTAAAAATCATAGTGGTATCATGGAAGAGTGCATTCCTATGACAAACATAATATTCATATCAATCTCCAATATTGCAGTAATATTTATTTATACTATTTTACCTCTTGTTTTCTGTTCATTTTGATTTTTATCATAATTTCTGCTTTTTGTCCCAAAAACTCATACTAATCAATCAGTCAGTCAGTCAATTATAACTTGTAATTTCATTTTATACATTTTGTTTTTTACGATTTTATTTGAACTGCTTACACTTTAGTTAATATTTGAAATAACAAAAACAAAATTCAATTTAAGATAAAATTTGATATTTAAAGCATCCTGTCAAATAAAGTATGATATGTCTGTCAATTAAATGCAAAATTATCATCAAAAAAACTCATTATTCAGCTCAAACTTTTCTGCTAGTCACTCAGTGTAGGAATGATAAATAAAAACACAAAAATATCTAAATTCAAATATACAAGATTTTTGAGGAAATAACAAAAGCACATTTGTTCTGATACTCAAAATCTACAATGTATTATTCATTAACCTTCTTATCAATTAAAACAACCAGATGCTGGCAGTCAAATTCCTATTCTCTTCAATCATCTCCAACTCTTCATCACATTTATCTCAGTTTCTGAAACTTCAAGAATTCCTGAGAGATCACATCATCTTTTTTCTTCAGAAAATTTTAGTTGTTATGCTTTATATATGCTATTCAAATTTAGTCTTGATAAACTGATACAAAATAAGTTTGTTAACATGGAAATGTGACTTCAGGAATAATAATAAAATTAATTTTCTTATCAAATCTTATTTCTAATTTTGCTTCAGTCTGTCTTTGTTTTTACTATACTCTTTCAGTTAATTCTTACATTTAATTTTCCATATATTTATGTAAATAAAATAATTGTTATTTTGCCTGTTTCAATATTTTCTGAGTCTAGTTCTGAACATACTTTTCATTTTCTATATCAAAAAGTGTACTAGGCAGATCTCAGTAACATTTCTCTTATGATTTCTTTGGGGTCATCTTACCCTCATCTTTTAATTGAATGAAAAATTAGTAATAAAACAGACTTAAATGTGCCTCAGTACAGCAAAATAATGTATACATTTTTATTTGTTTAATCACTAATTTATGTTTATTGTTTGATCTTTCCTTTCATCAATAGTAAAATATTAAATGTAAGTTAATCATTCAATATACGTATGAAGGAAAAAAAGGATGCATTTATTCTTTTTATATTAATAAGGAATATAATGTATATAAGAGTATCATCAATTTTTATTTTGAAGTTAGTATTTTTCTTCTTTTCATATTGTCTATTGCAATGAATATTATGCATAAATATATATAAATACAACATTACTATTAACATTTAATAAAACAAAAAATAACAAATATGAATTTAATTGTACATTTATATATAAAGTTCATTAATAATTTAATGTCAATAAATTATATGTAGAGTCCCAATAAACTGTTTTATCCATTTAAGAATGATTTCTATTACATCACATTGTCATAAAATAAATCATATTTGAATTCTCACTACCAATGAGATGTTTCATGTCTTGTCAATTCCTGTAAGTCTGCAGCCATATGTTTGCAACAAGAATCTGATACCAATTATATCCTTCAATAAATTTAAGTACTTTGAAAAATTACCTCTTAAATTAATGAAATTAACTTAAGAGGCAATTCTTCAATAAATTTTTGATTATTAAATGACTAGGAATAAAAGTTTATAAATAGTGAATTTTATGATTCAATGCTATTTAGGCTATGATTATAGTCCTGCTATTCTTTCAATATCTTTCAAATTTAGAGAATATCTAATTTATTGTTTCATCAGGTATTTCATTATTTTATTACTCAGAACTTTTCTATCAGTTGCATAGGGTAAACACCATATTTACATATTAAGTTTTCTTTAGATGGAAGTATTTTTGCATGATATAAACAAAAATATTCATTCTCTACAATAGGTAATACAGTAGAGCATCTATTATCTAACCCCCGATTAACCGTCACCCCGGTTAACCGACCGCGTTTTAGTCGGCAAATTCAAATGTCCGCTAGTGATGTGGCGCTACAATATTTGGCTATATCTTGGCTACTTTGATATTATTTTTGTTAAATTTTTGTGTGTTTTAGCTGGCAACATTGGCTCAACCATGAAAAGGAGGTCAGTATTTAAATGAGGCTTAATTTTCTAATTATGAGTGGTTGTTTGTTTTGTGAGCAATAAAATAATTTAAAAATAATTTTTAACAATACAATAGTGACGATTATTATTTAAAAAAGAATTTGATAGGCTTAACATGGAGGAAAATTCAACGCGAAATAGGTTAATAGCGATATACTAATACACTAATTACATGGGATATAATAATATACTACACTAATAATGGATTTTTTCATACTTTTTGGTTATCTGACTTTTCAATTATCCAACCAACCCCAATCCCCAATAGAGTCAGATAATCGATGCTCTACTGTACATTGCAAAATCAATTACTTGCTATTAAAAATGAGAAAATTAAATCTCATGTATTTTGTATCATGTAAAAATTTCAATGAAACTAACTTTTATAATAAACGTACAAAATGAAATAATGTAATTAATGATTGTAATAACTGTATATTGTAAATTTACAGTTACAATATCTTTATTAGTTGAAAAAAATGCCATAAAACAAATATTACAGTTTAGACCTATCTTTGGATAATACCTATTCAGAATTTTTAATCTGTAATTTTATTTTTATGCATTTAAGTACTCCAATTCATTAATCCAAAAAATCCCCAAGTTGTTTTATTTTCAAAAAAAAATTGCTTATTTGTATAATTCTTGAAAACAGATAAATATTCCAAAATACAGTGATTATATATTGTTACTCAAATGATAATACAATGTATGAACAAAAACAGTTTTTTGACCAACATGTTCAACCTACATTGATAAATTTGATATTGTTATGAAGCTTTTGTCCTCTCTTTGATTTTTGATCTCTTTGATCAAGAGATTTGCTGTTTTACAGTAATATACCACATCATGGTAATGTTTATATGATATACACAAATATATTACATTTTGATTCATCTATAATGTCATGTATGACAATCAATTATGACTTCTAATATTATTATAACATATGTTATTTTTATGCGAAATTATAAATCAACTAACTATTACATATAAAGTAAAATTCATTAATCCAAATATAAAAGAAAGAGGTCATCTACATTATAAGATAATTTAAATTTACAAATTAAAATTGTCAATATTAAGTTCAAAATATTCTCCAGGAAGAGAGATCACATAGCTTCAGTTGAGTATAAGCATTAAATTTGCACTGTGCAGATCTAAAATCTGAACTGCAAGCAAGAAAATATGCGAATAAAGTCCAAATGTAATATTTGCCAAATTTGTATCAAATTCCAATTTCTGCATAAATTGACTGTAGAAACTAGAAATGATCTGAGTATTTGAATTATTATCAAACTATTTTTCAATTAATTTGATATTTTTTGATAAAACTGTTCACATAGAATAACATTCTATTTTTTTTTACATATTCTAAATGTTTATATATTTATTTATTTATTCAAAAACTTATTTCCTTGATCACCAAAAATTACTCAAATTACATTTTACATGTTGCTACATGTTCCACATAAAATAGCTATATATATTTGCAAATGATGGAAATATACAAACATTATTCTACAAAATAATGCTGTAATATGAGCCACAATTAGCTATAGATGTATTTTTTGTTATTTTATATTTTATCCAGTTTTAATTCTAATAAAGCATTTTGTGAATATTTCCATTTTTTTTAATATGGCAAGATATTTAAATATTTTACCATAAATAAATAAATTAGTAATAAACATTTAAAAATATTTCTTACCTGTAGAGCATGTGTACTGATATCAGATGGCGGAAAGAATACATTGGCAATAGTTAATGTGTGATCATTTCCAACAGTACAGAACTGCATCATTAAAACATAACCACATTTCTGAAGAAAAGTACGTATAGCTATTTTATCTGCATTTTCTAATGATGAAGTTTCAAGATCCTTTATTAAAAAAAAAATACATATATTCAAATAATTTATTATTATATTTGCAATAGTATTAAATTATATTATTGTATTGAATTATATAAAAAATTCTCATTAGTTTGAAATTTAAGAGACAAAATAATCACGACTTTGAATGGGTAAGGTGACACCTAAAAATGCATTGCTGTAAAAGCAAAGCCGTATAGACCAGATTAGTTTTTGTTGAGCTATTATTCTCTTATAGTATGGAAGAATGTGAACTTCAATCTAAACATATGAATTAACAAGCATAGCACAGTTTGGACAGAATTTTTACTTTGAATTTCAAAGTAGCCAAATTCCATAATATACAGTGGTACCTCAGGATACGAACTTAATCCATTCCAAAACTGAGATCATATCATGAAAATGTCGTAAGGTGAATCATTTTTCCCCATACGATTACATGTAAAACCAAATAATTTGTTCCAATATGAAAAACATACTCAAAGCTAAGTAGTACACTAAAAAAAAAATTATAGTAAGGAAAACACTGAAAAATGCATTTTGTAGTTGTAAATGTATAAATAACAATAATAGAATAATAATTGATTAAAAAAAATGTAGTTTTATTTGCACTTTACCTTTGAGGATAGATGACGGTGGAGGTGTAAACTGGTGATGGAGGAGAGGGAGAAGGGAAATGATACTAAAACTTAACTTACATAACATAATGTAACAATAACTTAAAAATAATTTAACACTAATTTTTTTATCTTTTCTGTTTTATATATTTTTTAAAATTTTTTATTCACTACTTTTTGCTTTC